AGCTCAACACCTCATCCAATATATGTTTGCCCACATGACTGTCCACTGCAGACAACGGGTCGTCAAACAGATAGAGATCGGCGTCTGAATAGACAGCTCGGGCTAAGGAAACCCTTTGTTTCTGACCACCGCTTAAGTTAATACCCTTTTCGCCGATCTCTGTCTCGTCTCCGCCGGCGAGTGTCAACAGATCCGACTTCAGAGCACACGCTTTGATGATCTTTCGGTATTTCTTTGAATCAAATTCTTTGCCAAACAGTATATTGTCTTTCAAAGTGGCGTTTTGTATCCACGCCTGTTGTGGTACATAAGCTAACTCTGAGTTCCCATTAATATTCACACTTCCACTGCATATTTCCATATCTCCCAACAGAGCCGACAACAGAGAGCTCTTACCGGAGCCAACACTCCCAACGACGGCCACAAACTTGCCTTTCATTACTTTGAGATTAATCTTGTCGAGAGTGGGTTTAAGACCCCCGTCCACCACATCCTCCACTCTTTCCCACGTAAACGACGCGTTTTCCACTTTTATCACTTCTTTTTGATCCTTATTTCTGCTCACATAACCCGTCAGTTCTGAGAAATTCAAGAACTTATCCAAACGTTTAATGGAAACCAATGTCTTAATTGAACAAATTAAAAATGTATTTTATTAATCTATTGAATATATTATATTTATATAAGCTTAAAATAGAATAAACAATATAAAACACTAACCAAAACGAGCGTGGTGATCATGTTAGGGACCATGGTCAACGGCATTCTCAGCAAATTAAACAACGATATGGAGACAAACGCTTTTTGTGCGTCCAATTTACCATTTTCATCGATGGCAATGTAGAGCCCGAATGTGACCAGCGATACGAAGAATGGCGTACAGGAGGCCAATACGATCATCACCGAATTGAGCATGCCACTTCGCCGGATACGGTCCAACTCACGGCGCCTGATGTCCATTATGTTGGCCACAAACGCCTCCTCCCAGCCGTACAGCTGCGCACAAATTACATTATCAGATGTATTAATTACCTGCACTAATACACTATGGCCAGTTATATACCTTGAGCACTTTAATGCCGCTGAGTATCTCGTTCAACGAGCGCACCCTATCATCTTTGAGTTTCATTTGTTTCGCTTGAATGGCCCGCACTTTGGCGCTGACCCACCCGTTCACCGGCACCATCACAATCATCAGCACCAGACCACCCATAGTGGCTATGCCTAACTCGTTATACAGCAGCCACAGCGATATGCCTATCTGTACCGGCGCTGTGTATACGAAGCTTATGAATGGCAACATATCTGCGAGAATTATCATTGATTTCAATTAATATTTCGATTTTGATTAAATTTTTATAAAATATAAAATACAAATACCAGAAAATCTCTGTGAGTCGACTGCCATTAAGTTCACAATTTCGCCAGAAGTTGTGCCAGACTTTGAGTGATTGCTTAATACCAATGACTTTCTATAGACAGCTGACACCAGACATGCCCTGATCCTCATTCCTGGATGAGAAATATATTTTAACATGATAAATGTTGTGCATAGCGTTTAATTTAATGTTAAACATACCTAACACAGCCATACGCTGCGACTGATAACCGTTGATTAGGCTCTGGAAAGTGTTGGTCAGTATAAGCAGCAGTGCGTACATATAACCATGCCAGTTTTGCTCATTTGGATCAGTGGTGAAACCAATCAACATCCTTAAATGAAATAAAATTAAAAAATATATAAATGGACAATAAAAGATTTGTTAGTTAGCATGATATACATACTTCATAATCTCCGGGTTGACGAGTTGCATGCAGTCGGCCATCAATTTTAAAATACTGGGTGTAATGAAGTAAAACCAAAACCCTTTGGTAATCACTGTTAACAATTTTGTCGGTTTCTTTGCCGGTGACTCCGGTTTCGTGGCATTCATAGACCGAGACTTAATGTCCGCCCCGTTTGCGGTCAACTCAGACACCAGTGGCTCGTCGGCGGCGTCGAGGGCTCCCTTTTTCCATAACCTGTTAAACTCTCCGTACACTGTCTTACAGGAGTCCTCGTGGCGTACGGCCCACAAGTCATCTCTGGTCAGTGGACTCCTCCAACCCTTCATTATGAGCCCAGTTATCCACCAGAAGGACAGTCTCGATGGGAAGGATGCCGTCTCTTTGGGGCACACTTTTAGATGATTGGCGTGTTTTTCGTTACCGTTATTGTCATACGTCGGCAATCGGTCCGGAAATGAGTTCATTATAAACAGTATTACTGTTAATGAATACTGTATTATAAACAACACGTATTCGTGACTCTGTCTGATGTCGTCCAGTGAATACGTGGCCACCGATAGGGCGCCGAACACTGTGTCCAACAAGAGGTAGAACCACACGATTCCACTGCAATGAACGCCTGATCTCTGGTGACAGTATAGGACCAGACATAACAGCAGTCGTGTAATTGAATACATGGCCGTCGAGATCAGGTACGAGACGGCGGGCGAGTCGTCGAACTGGAACTGCCTTAACATACATAGTATGAAGTCTACGACAGTCACCACCGATAGGGTCAGCGCCGTAGCCATACGGGCGCTGTTGTATGCGTTCCACCCGATGGCCGGCCGTCGAGTGCGGAACGTATCGACGATAGTATACGGCAAACAAAGACAGAAACAGATGGTCGGAATCCATGTAAATGCTGTTTCGGCGATACAAGCGCTTAGTTTTGGTGATGTGGTGTTCCAACTCTGTTGGCTATCCTATAGTTTTAATTTTTTATGTAGATAAAAAATTTATTATTTTATCTAAATTGCATTTTTTCTCATATTTGTAAGATTTATAATGAAAACAAGTAATACAAGTGTATAAAAAATATATGGTAATATAATGTTCACTTATATACACATTGAAATCAAATTAATTTATCAAAAACATTTCTACTTAAGATTAATTCTAACATTAAGTTATAAATTATAACTTATATTAATAGATTAATATATTTATTTACAATAATAGCACTTATAATCTTAGATAATGTAAATATTCAATTGTTTTTCAGGTACTCAATGCTATTATCAAAGTAAATAAATTAAAATACATACCCATAGATAGGAATCACATATTGAATCAAACGTATTGATATAAGTCATTATACAGAAAACTGTATTAAAAATTAACTTAACAAGTTCATTTAAAAGATTTATAAATTTCTAATCACAAGTAATAATTAAATTAAATTAATATTGTAATTAAAAGAAATGTAGAATAATTACAAATTTTAATAAATATGACAAAGTAATATTTGCAATTGCAGGTAATAAGTAACAATTTGAAAGATGAGCTTGATGTTTATATACAAATTATAAAATAACATTGTATGCACTGAAATAATAAGTTGTAATAAAAGTTTTATTATAAATATACTAATTACATCGTCATACATTGTAATATTATATTGTGTTATATTATGATAATGATCTAATTAATTTAGGTACAGCAAGTTCATATGTAATTTTTACAATTAGGATCAGGCTCTTTTATGGTGTATTTACAGTATTTGAAATATACAAATCCACAATACAATATACAATGTAGTTTAAAATTATTATTTATTTTAATTTTTTAAAAGGTTCCTTTAAATAATTAATAGATATATTTTAATATGATAAAATTTAGTAATCTCTCTCTCTCTCTCTCTCTCTTCCAGGAATGAGGATCAGGGCATGTCTGGTGTCAGCTGTCTATAGAAAGTCATTGGTATTAAGCAATCACTCAAAGTCTGGCACAACTTCTGGCGAAATTGTGAA